CCTACTGTAATTTTTAAAAATTTAAAAGTTTTCTTATTAGAAGCCCAAGTGAAATTCACATAACACAAAGTTAACCATTTAAAGACAAACCCTTTCCTGGTGCTCATAACGTTGTGCAACCAGGAAAGCAAGGGCTCCCTTTCGATCTTTCATGCACTCTGAGGAAGGTTCTCAAACAGAAGGACCCTACGGTGTATGTGGACAGGACTTGCAAATGTAAAGCACTCTGGAATGTTCGTCATTGTTAGCGCTTCATTGCTTAACAGTGATCCTTGTCATTTGTAAGTCCTTTTCTAAAGGATAAGTTCAGAGTCGGCCTTGGACTCGGCTGACGTGTTCTTGGTTACTTGTCCCTGGCACGAGGCTCAGCAATTCATCTTCATTTTGTCTGTACTGGATCCCGCTTCCTCGGTTGGGAAAAATAAAGGCTTTTAAAGCTTTCCAGTCATTGAGGACTGCCCTCACCAGCTCAGTGCTGTATATTTTATAAGATTTGGGTCAGAACTAAAAACAAATCCCCTCTCATTTCCATTTCTCCCTTTCTCTCAATGAGTTTGCACAACAGGCAAGGGACAAGGCAATCTGGCAGACACAGGGGACCAAGAAACTCTTTCTTTCTTTCTTTCTTTCTTTCTTTCTTTCTTTCTTTCTTTCTTTCTTTCTTTCTTTCTTTCTTTCTTTCTTTCTTTCTTTTTCAGCTTCAGGAGAACTACAGAAGTTGACAGACTAAGGCTGTGTGCTCACACTGTGGTGGCCGCTAACCTGGGTCAAATCCCTGCTGTGTCACTTAGCGCCCGGGTGTCCTCAGGCACATTTTTGACTCTCTATGCTCTGTTCCTTCCTGATGAGAAAGGGAAGAATAACTGTATTTACTCCGTAGGGTGGTTGGACGATAAAACAGGACCATGGAAATAAAAGCATTTAGCACAACATCGGAAGCATTAAAAGCACCCAGAAGATAGTAGCTCTTGAGATTTGTTCAATAATCAACATTTTAATTTTGATTCGCATTAGCAGAGAGCTGCACTATCCCAGCCAGTCAGGGTCATTTCATTGACCACTGCCCCCAGAACACATTCGACTCCTCTTCAGGGACAGAGACTCTCTCTCTGCCTGAGCAGGTCCTAGCCCTATGAGGGGGAACGGTCTGGGAAGTGAATCCTGAGAGGAAAAACTAGACCTGTGATAAAACTGGCTCAAAATAACCTTGTTCCCTAAGAAAATAAGAGGCCCGACCTCAGAGAACCCTCCTCCGTGACCCTCACCATCCCTCGAAGCCCTGACCCAAGTTCAAGTTGGGAAGAGATCAGGATACGACGAATGGCATCCAGAAAGGCACAGACAGAACAGAAACTCGAAGAGAAAACAGAAACAACCCCTTCTGTGTTTCCACATCAACTTCTGACACACAACAAGGAACCAACTGTCCTACCATTTAACCATTGCCAGCGTCCTTGTCCTTGTGCACAGCCGGACACAGCCACGTGCTCTGTGTTTTCAAACTCAACGGGGCTCCCGTGCCCTGGCTACCAGGGCTTGGGAAGCTCTGGGCTGAGCAGGGGTCTGGGGAGAACTCTAGAAATAGTCACCTGCAGCAACTCACCCATGAAGTAGGTGGTGGTCTTGCAAACAGCACTCCCGAAGATGAAATCCTTGAGCAGGTTGGGGATGAGGTTGAAGGGCATGCAGAAGAGGCAGAGCATGAGGTCGCTGACAGCCAGGGACAGCAGGAAGATGTTGGTGACGGTCCTCATCCTCTTGTTCCGGATCAGCACGGTGATGACCAGCGTGTTCCCCAGCACGCTGAGCAGGAATATCAGGGAGTACAGGAAAATCTGCACTGCCGGCTGCCACTCTGCCGGGAGGGACGAGGTGATGGGAGCAGAATGTTAAAACCTCAGCGCACCAAGCGGATGGCTCCTTCCTGCCAACCTGTGCCCCTACGGGTGGGCATCTTCAAACCCAAATATTCCCGAGCTGACATCCATCATTTTTGCAGAAACAAACTGAGAAAAGCACCGTGTGATTCGGTTGCTTCTAAAAGGTTGGTCTGTTAAAAGAGCTGCCCCGGGAAACCCTTTTTCTTAAGGACAACGCTTCTGAATCGTGAGGGCTTTCTCTCCTAGACACTGACCATTATTTTGCTTTAATTGCTTCTTCACGCCGGGTTTCCCCAAGAAAAGGCCACTGCTGAATTGTGACAGTGCCCTTTCTGTCGGGCGTGTAAGTCCAGGCTTCTACACTTGTTCTCCCTTCTTGCTGCTCTCAGCTCTGCCTCCCGCTGCCTTTGTCCCCCTCCTGTCCTGCACACGTCTCCA